ATATATATATATATATATATATATATATATATATATATATAGTGTGTACTGTAATATATTGTGAATAAAATATTAATATTAATTTTAAATATTTTGATGAACAATAGTTTGATTACAAATATAGTTGGGAGAAATTCATATTTTTATTCAGCAAGGATGGATTTAATTGATCAAAAGTGACAGAAATGCTTTCTTATAAAAAAAAAAAGTATTTAAAATAAATGCTGTTCCTTTGAACTATGCATCAAATTTTGTACTTGTCAAAAATATATCACCGGTTCCACAAAAGTAATTGCAACCATTTTTAACATTAATAATCACAAGAAATGTTTGTTGAGCAGCAAATCAGCATATTAGAGTGATTTCTGAAAGATCATGTGACAGTGAAGACTGGAGTAATGGCTGCTGAAAATGTAGCTTTGCCATCACATGAATTAATTACATTTTAAGATATATTAAAAATTAAAATTTTTTTTTTTTAATATAATTATAATATTAAATTATTATTGAAATATTTTAAACAATTGTAATGTTTTACTATATTTCTGATTAAATAAATACAGGCGAGCTTAAGAGACCTTTTTGAAAAACGTAAAAAAAAAAAAACTATCTTACAAACCCCAAACTTGGTATGTTTACTATGACTATTATTTATTCTTATTTAGCTTTTTTAGACCAAAGCAAGTTACAGTACACCACTTTACTTGAACAGCTTCCTGAGGCAACATGGTGTTATTTTTTTTCTCATTAACACTCTAGTTAATAAGTTTCCCTTGCGTGATGTTGTTCAAATAATTTGTTTAACACATCCACATCCCTAACCACAAGTTTCCAAACCCGGCTCATATGGGATTTGCGTATTCCAGCACTAAGCCAATGTGACTAGTATTAGCTAGCATGTTCTTCTTACAGCAGATTCTGTGATTTCCTCCTCAGCTTAGCTTCAGCTGCCCTGAATTGCAACGTGTAAAAAAATGTTAGCGGCAGCTGATGTTGGAGAAATACAAATAGTCTGGTTAGGTGGGTGAGACGGAGTTAAAATTAAACACGAAACTCTGTCATTACAGGTCAAGGGAGAGCTACGGCAGCTGAAGCCAGTGGCCCAGCCCAGTTCTGCTGCATGTTTGCGGTGCTGAGACTGACCCATGCTGAGCTTGTGGTCGAGCCTGCTGGGACATCAGTCTGGCTTCGGCTCAGATGTGCTTTTGCGAAAACACAGACCCAAATGGGGATGTTTACGAAAAAAAAAAAATCTGACATGATGTTCTGCAGTAATCCTCACGAAAAGCCAGGAAGGAAAAGAAGGATGGGAAGATGAAGATGAAAAATTGAGGGCAAAGAAGTTGTTTTCGTTTAATAACCGTCTTGTGCTCTCTGGTGCAAAAAGGTGCAATATGGTTATTAAGACGGCTACATCTTCTTGAACACCCGCTGCTACCCTCATGTTTTAATTTATGGACAACAATAATTACCAGCAGGCTTGATTAATTATGTCTAAACAATATGCTCCTCGCACACATGCCACAAGGGCTAATTATCCTAACAAACAGGATGGGCTGGGACAATTGAAGGTTATCAGCAGTAGTCATAACTGCATGACCATAGCAGCTGAAAATCTCAACGGCTTTAAATGACAGCTTTCCTTGCCACAATGCCTGGCTATTCATTCCCAAGCCCCTCCTCTCTTTTAACTTCCTCTGGCCCAAATGAAGTCCTATACATTTTGTTATATGACGCCATGGAATGAGTTATGAGAGCCTGTCAATAGAGCCGAGATTCCTGCCATTTTTCCGTCCCCTCCCGGTTTCCCTGCTCTTTCAACTCCACTGCAGGGGTGGACGCTTCATTCATGTCACATGGCGCTCGCATAATGGCACAAAAAAAAAAACTAAAAAAAAAACGAATCTATTCAGATTCCAAGGCCAGTTGTATGTGTTAGTTTTCTTCTAATGCCTCTGCAAGCCTTTCAGATAACTCATCTTGTAAAAACCTATTACTGCTCTGACACAGATTTGATAGTTCTGTTGAATCTTAACCACTTCTTGGTATCTTGGGATCTAATTAAATAGACAATTACTGCGCTCAACATTAAAATGCTGTGACGATCTGGATACACCTGTGATAGCCGAGATGCCTAACATGTCTAATTTGCAATCACAAGCTCTGATCTACTGTCTTCGGTATGCAGACTACAACTGCCGATGATCCATTCTTACATAAAGTAAGAAATGTGTATCCATTTCGTACTGAAATACACTTCAAAAATGAATGAGTATCCCATGATTTCATTTAATATTTAAAAATATTCAAATAGTTTGTTCATATTTAAGAGTCTATATTAAGTAATATACTTATTTTGTTTACATTAACATAATTTACATTCATATATTATTTTTGATTTAATGTTACTTAGTATATTTTAATGTTTTATGTTTTGTTTTGAATATATTTTACGTTGATACTAATTATTTTGTTTTTATATTTATGCATTTACGATTGATTTTTATATTTAAATAATATTTCTTTAAATTCGATTATTTAAAGTTGAAAATAACCGGATATCCATCATGTCTCGGCACTTCAGATTGAACTAATATTTGCCATTTCTACATTTGCACGTTTATTCTGCTGTTCTGGCTTGTTTACCGAGATATCACGAGTAAAGGTCGGATTAAGTGCGTTACCTGTTCTTATCGCGTTGGTCCCTCGTTATGGCTGCATCCTCCTCCTCCTCATCATCCCCTGCCGATACTGAACGCTTCCTTCTCTCCTCTTTCTGTCAAACGGCCCTGCTTGTTTTCACTAGCACGATATTACGTGATGCAATGACACTCATGCCACATAGTCCACCCCTGAACTGAGTCCACCCGCGCCGTAGACACCTCGGCTGTCTCCAAACCTCCGTCTCTCTCTCTCTCTCTCTCTCTCTCACTCTCTCCACCTCCTCCTCCTCTCCTCTGGAGCGCGTGTGTCTTCTCGCTTTACCAGCTCTACAACCTGATTGAGTTACAGAGTGACTCGCGCAAGCATACGCGCGTAATCTCACACCTCCTCCCGCGTGCCCTGCCTCTCTTCCTACTCTTTAATGATACAGAAGCAGATTTGGGCAAATATTAATATTCCATTGCGGGCTACAATTATCCTGAGGCTGGTTTGTTCGAGTTATCGGCTTCCAGACAGTAATAGCTCGTCGTAAGAGGCGTGGCTCCGCTATAATAATGTGGGTTTCTTACCTTAATTGCGCGTCAGATCATGTGGATGAGTGAAGAGATGAGACTGCCGCCTGTATATGTAGTCATTAAGCACACTGAAACGCCGGCAGCCACGTTAATATTTTAGCGAGCTGGTGGATGGGAGCTGTCGCTGCCTCGTGTATGAAATATGACAAGGAAACAATGGTCGCAGTGCCCTTTGAGGTGGACTGCACGCGGCCGCTAAAACCGAACTTCCCCGGAAATAGCGTGGTATTGATTATCACAAAAAAACAAAAAGGTGTTTCGAAACATGAGCTATGCAAACAATGCGATGCAGAGGGCACAATGTAGCACCGTTAAATTCTGTATGACAGTACCTCACCCTGAACTTCAGCAGACGCTCAATGGTGCGCTCCGCAAATCCCGTTCAATCGCACCCAAATCACAGCATTGCGATGCTTATCCCTCTGTCCCTACTTCTACACGTGAATATACAGTTGATGCGAATGGATAGCATCCGTTACAGCATCAGTTTATAAGGCTACATTGTTTATTTTCTCGCATCCACAACATTCCAGTCGACCCCGCCCCCGGCGCTACGTGATTGGCTCAGAGACTCGGGGTGCCTTCGCACGAGCTATATTTAAAGTAAACAGGCGCACATCTGGCCAGCGGTGCGCGTCACTGTCGCCGGAGGTCGCGAGCCGACGCTGTGCGGTGAACCAGAAAAGACCTTGACGACTTGAAGGTAGACGAACTATTTATCCGAGTTTAAAAGGGAGTGATCATTATACGGTTATGATTTATGATTAGAGATGGGAATCGTAATCTGGTTTTTTAAATGATTCCTTAACGGCCCCATTAACGAATCGTTCAGTATTATTGCTCCAAAAATGTTTGGAAAAAAGAAACACATTTTGTTACTGCCTCAACGAGTCTGTTGCCAAATTTGAACAGATTTAAACATAACATTTCAGATCTATAAGACGATTCATTTTTGATTTTTTTTTGTTTTGTTTACAGGCTTTTAATGACTTTGTAGAGGCGACATGAACGCACTTAAAAAAAATAAAAAATAAATAAATATATATATATATATATATATTATAAAATACCACTGATTACATAAAATCTCATAATGTCAAAAACATTAATTGGAGTCCGGGAAGGCGTTTTGTTTCAATAAAAAGAATCTGCTCATGAGCTTCATTCGTCTGAAAATCTCTACACTATTCGCAGAGTAAATTAGAACTCGTAGGTGCAAATCATTTTTAAAATGTCACTATGTGCGGACTTTTGTCAAACTACTGCCCTCTTGTGGTCAAACTAAGAGCTCACATCACTTGTGACCAGTTACGAAATAAACACACATTATGAAACAAAAAACTATTAAAAAAACATTTGAATTTATTACAATATTTTGCATTACATTCAAATACTGAATCAACAAGTTGCAGTCCACTTTTATCAAAATAGAAAAATGCAAATTGTCTTTTATTAACCCTATGTTATTTTTGCCAATTATCTATTGCATTATTAAGTCATTTGTACTTTTTAATTGCCCTCCAGTAGATTTGAAGATTGATCACTGGGCTTTTGGAGTGAGAAGGTACACTTTCTCTGTCAGTGAATCCAGTCCCCATGATTTGTGCTTTTCCTCAAAGGCATCTACAGACTCTAGCAATTCAACGTCACATCCACCTCCTGAAATATGAGACATCGCCATGATTATTGGATACAACTATTTAGAAATAAAAGCTCTATAATACATAATGAATCATGAAAACATCTAGGTACAAAATAGGTAAGATGACATGTCAGAACAGTGACCAAAACTCACCAAATACATTTTTTACATCCTCTTCTGATACAAAAAATGGTGGACCTGTATGTCAAATATGGCAACAAATATCAAATACTAAAGACAAGACACATATGCTTTATAATCATTATCACTAATAATAATAATGAATTCATTATTGTTTTCCCCCTTAACATTACCTTTATACAGCTCAGGATTATATTCCAGTGTGTCCACAAGATATCTGCAGTCATTGTTCATTAAGGACATAAGGAGAGTAGCATACCTTGGGGATGAAGAGAATATGTATTTACATACAATCCCACTTAAATAAATAATAATTAAATAAAATAAAATGTTTATTTAATACTTGCTTTTGCCTGTCACATGGGTTTATAGCCACCAGCGCTCCTCTGTCCCAAATTCCTCCAAACTTTCCTCCAACAGTACTATATATGGACAGAGACCAAAAAGACAGAGAGGCATTTAAATGCATTTCATGTGACATGTTTTATCATCTAAAATTAGAAAGTATAAAATGTACCTGGAGAACTTGTATAAATCACACTGATAGATGGAGATCTTTCCATCTGTACTCTGAGAACAAGGAAAATGCATTAGGTGAGTGGGCATGACACAAAAACATCACGCTGTCTACTTCCATTAAAGAAAGCTAAAGCGTTGTGACCATCTCACAGTGGGTGTGTATTAAACTGAGGGGCATCCGTCTGTATTAATCTAATCAGAGGAAGCCGTGAAGACACAGAAAATGCCATTATAACAATACATATAACAGTGCATCTACCTTATGCTTAACCTCATTCATTTCCAGTTATTTTAGCTGTACATTTTCTTATAGCAGGTAATTAATCAGAAGTCTTGCACATACAAATGTCTAACTTCCACGTTGCAAAACAAGGTGAATAATAACTCAGTGCATGATTTATGGGCACTATAATCCTTTAGTGCTAATTTTATCGTTGGTTTGTGTCTAGCAATCAGTACGGATGACAAATGCAGGACCTTCAGATACCTTGAAAACCTTTGCTCCAGAAATGGCTGGTACTGGTTCTTCATTAAAAGCAAGATTTTGCTCTGCAAAGAATTGTTTGATTCCTTTTTCTGAAATTTCAACTCCAACAACTGTGTGACCCATATCAGCCAACCTGAGAAACATTTTTTTGAACATTTTATGGAAGTGCTGGGAAGATTTTAAACATTACTCAACACATTTAATGATGAAAATTTTGTCATTAATCACTTACCCTCATGTCGTTCCAAACCCCTAAAAGCTTCGTTCGTCTTCAGAACAAAATTTAAGATATTTTGGATGAAAACCGGGAGGCTTGTGACTGTCCTATTGACTGCCAAGTAAATTACACTGTCAAGGTCCAGAAATGTATGAAAGACATCGTCAGAATAGTTCATCTGCCATCAGTGCTTCAAGTGTAACGTTATGAAGCGACAAGAATACTTTTTGTACGCCAAGAAAACAAAAATAACGACTTTATTCAACAATTCATCTCCTCTGCGTCTGTCCGCATCACCGTAGCACCATTTTGGAGAATATCCGCTGAACGCAAGCAGCGTACGCTCTTCTGTGTCAGCCGCGCCACACGGATGTGCTGTATTTACACTTTGATTTGCGACATTCAAATCAAAGTGTAAATACACATAGAAAACGTATCCTTGTTTCGCGGCTGACACAGAAGAGCATACGCTGCTTGCGTTCAGGCGGATATTCTCCAAAATGGCGCTACGGTGATGCGGAGAGACACAAAAAGTATTCTCATCGCTTCATAACGTTACGGTTGAAGCACTGATGCAGATGGACTATTCTGACGATGTCTTTAATACTTTTCTGGACCTTGACAGTGTAATTTACTTGGCAGTCAATCGGACAGTCACAAGCCTCCCGGTTTTCATCCAAAATATCTTAAATTGTGTTCCGAAGATGAACGAAGCTTTTACGGGTTTGGAACGACATGGGGGTAAGTGATTAAAGACAAAATTTTCATTTTGGGGTGGAGTATCCCTTTAACCTCATACCATTTCATGTCTACAGCTTTTCCGCATAGTGGGAAGAAGAATCGAACCTCATTTCGTCCACATACGACTTTGTCCAAGTTGCTTTCCAGCAAACTACCAAAAAAGTAAAAAAAAAACAGGAAACTGAAACAATTGAAGCAAGACATTTAAAGTAAAATAATAAATTGATAACACTGTGCGGTTCCTCTACACATTTATGGAAAATTCAAAAGGATCATTATTCATAAGCAACACAGGATGGTGTCTAAATCATGGAGCTACAGTATATGATGTGTTAGTATGCATGATTAATGATAGTATAGCATAGCATTTTGCAACATCATTACTGTTATTGAACTGAATCAACAGTTGAGTTGAATAATGACACTATTTTATGTTTAGAGCTTTACAGAAGAATTTAAATGTCTCATATTTGATTAAGTTTGCATCACTGATTCAGTTATTTTTCTGTTTATCACTGTGAAGCTGCTTTGAAACAATCTATACAGAAATAAGGTGACTTGACTGTAGTGTTGGTGGTGACTAAATGTGTGATTACTTGTGCACTTCAGATCTGTGAAAACCAGTTTTTCCTTCCTGCCACCTGTCCTCCCACTCGGACAAAGCCATCACTCGGTTTTCCTGGGCAGACATCTCTTCTCTTCTCTTCTCTTCAGCTGGTTTCTTCAGGGAAGCAGACAGTTGCTATGTGCAAATGATAAAATGCAACTAAGCACATAATTATGCACAGTTAGGAAAGCAAAATAAATAGGCTGATCAGCATTTAAAAAATATGTAGAAAACGCTTTCCAAATCATTCTATTGTTGATCTACTCAAGCTACTGTGGCCCATATTTATTTGATCAGATTCATCTGTCTAGTTAAACAAGTTGCATGACATGCACTTATCCTCAAAAGCATGAACAAAACTATGCAAGATAAAGAAAATAGCATCAAGACTATATGAAATAGAACACTTCTACTGGTGTTTCTGAGTGTAAAAATGTTTAAT